AATGTTCTAAGTTTCCACGTTCGGCCACGTACAAAATATGTAGAATAACAATCACCATTAATTAAAACGTTGGGAATGCCCCTAATTTCATGCACGTGTGCTTCACGTATCACTTTCAATGCTAACTCCTTTGTTGATCTTTTGCGCTGATTCCTCTGATATTTGGAAGCGACTGCAGAGAAAACATAGATTTGTGTGGCCGTTGATTTGGTGTAGCTAACAAAAAAGACAGGGCGCCAACCACAAATTGCATGACATGCTCCAGAGGTGCCCTTACCTCTCTGCATGCAGCACGGCAGCCATCGCAGTTTACTTGCGAGGCCGTCTAGCAGAAGTACATGCCATTAAACAAAAAACACCACCTTGAGCTCCCAACTGCGACGCCACTTGACAATTTTTGATACCGCCACTGCACGATGATTGCGACCGCATCTCCATAGCTATCATGAAGTCAATCCGTGCCAAGTGCCATCGGTTAAACGCTGTTTTCTGCCAGTGCAAGAGTTTTGGAGGCTATAGCGCAAGCCTGATCTGAAAATGACATCGAAGTCCAAGGCACAGGCGAATCAGGTGCAGCGCCCAGGCTGGCAATGAGTTGCTGTCAGGAAGTGTAATGTCAAGCCTTGGCAGGGTTTGGTGCGCGACGGAACCGCCTCGATGTTGGCAAATTTTCGGTATCGCGGTGCATTAGGGACGCGCGACATGTGGCTTGCAGGGGTATGGGTGTGGGTGCGAGTAGGAGGCGGGGTGGTTATGGGGAATCAATACCGAGTGTCGTTGTTGCTATGCGTTGTGAATGCACCGATGACCAATGTTTCCATGCAAAAGGTAGGAAAGGGAGTCCGTGTCCAAGAACCAACTCTTCTGCTTGGACCCGCGAATCTCTCAAGGAAACTCAAGAAACAAAACCAGCATTTGCCAAGTTGGTGTATATAAGTGCTATACAGCAATGACCTATGGCAAATTTAGTCAGATTGGGCCAATAGCCGTCTTGCTGATAGAAAAAATGAGACTAGGGGTGGCAATGGCTGCCTGACCACCCTGTCGCTTTAGTGGATTGTTAAAGGGTCAAAGCAAAGTCATAGTATAGTAGCCACAATTTAACACACTCTGCATTCTATTCGGTTATGTTGCGTTTAATTTCGAGCCATGTACTCGACCCCTGACAATGCCCAAGTGGGGGTCTAATGTCGATGAGGGAAATTAAAAGAGAAAGCCAAATGCAACGAGAACATTTATGATCTGCATCAACATTGCCACTTCTTTGATGAATTAAAACTCTTCATGTATTGAGTTGCGTTACTAGGAGTGGACTAACAACTTACAAATTCATGAATTAGACCAAAAGATTGAACAAGAATTGGATTCGGATACAGAGTTTTCCAGGAAAACATTTGCGTGTGCTTCGCAAGAGTGAGAGCGGCTGCGGAGGCAGTGGTAATTTCTGTGTGTTGCATCGATTCCAGGTGCAGATGTTGGGGCGCAATGAGCGGCGCCGAGGCCATCGCCACAGGAAGAGCCATTTTGTGTTTGTCCCTGATGGCCAGCGTCCTGGACATCGTGGGCTTAGTACTGACGACTGCCTTCATACCGCCCATTACTCCCTTTGATTCTGGATCACCTGACGACAACTATGAAAACGATATTTTGGACTTCTTTGTCCAGATTGGAAGTGTAGCAGCCACCGTCCATGGCGTACTCAGTGTATGGGTCTCCGTTGCGGTGCAGACCATGCTGCGCAAGATTATTCAAAAGGAATCCTCACACGATGCACCAAGTACTGTTCTGGGAGCTTGATCATACCAGTTTGGGATATTTGTTGCAGCTTTGGCCCGACAGTCGTTTTGCACCCTTCATATTATCATGACAGTGGACGAACATTTTGCCTTGAGTTCTGTTGCTCAAAACTGGCATTAGGGTTCTGTAAACCATTCATACAAGTATAGTCGATTTGGGATTGATGATGTCGAGGACGAGATTGCTGTTGACGACACGTTCTATTGCCATTTTGAAATCTTGTGTTTTGACTCGCAAATCAATTCTGGAATTGCAGTTTCAGCGTGTTGGTGAGTTTTCAATGCGAAAATATGGAATTTGGCGCGCACTCATAGCACCGTAATGGACTCAAAGGGCATTCCTTCAGGGATCTTGGGGATGCTGTCGCTCTTGCCAATGTCGATGAAAATTATCTTTCAATCAATTCATTTTGACGTGTATTCCTTACCAATCAAAGGACCGAATCCAATATCAAGTGTGCGATGGTGTCTGTTAACAATTTTATGCGCCCCCGTCATGCGGTTCCAGCGATGAAAAATACATCATGCTCATTCCTGTTGAAATGGTTCATAGATTTCAAGCGCGTGATTAATGACGCCTAGTCTTCGCATGTGCATAACCATTTCACATTGACGTATTTACGCTTGAAAACCCGCAACCAGAGAAACGCCCATTTTCGCTGCCATAATCACGCGTTTTCATAGCGCGTGAATGCAGGGGGTTGGGAAACGATTGGTATGTAAAGTAGAGTAATATGTGGTGTGTGGCAAAAGCGTGCGTGATTGTAATGAGCCACACCTGACACCTATTCAGATGCATAGCCCCATGAGAGTCGCCTTTTAAATCGAGACCCACGCTATCCTATATCGCTGTGGCTGTGAGAACCTCCGCTCTGCCAGGCAGTACACGAGCAAAAAGGGACCAAAAAACACGTTCTGAGAATACATATGTATGCATTTCATCAGTGTTCTGTACGCTGAAACCACGAAAACAACACCAACCGGTAAACTTTGTACACGTTTGAACACGTGCTATTTGGCCCTTTTTTTACTAGTGATATGCGCCTTTTCAGCAACGGTTGAGGTGTGGTGACCTGAGAGCGGCACAGGGGCGAGAACGCAGATGGTGCACGCCATATAGGAGCCATATAGGCACCGCATAGGCACGGTATGTTGCCTGGGATCCAGGGTGGTGCCGGCCATGTGAGGGTACCCACCACATCTAATGAGCCGCGTTTTGGATGACCAAAATACGGCGTGTAATAGCTGAAATCATATGATTTGCTTTGCTGATAGCAGCTTATGGAAAATTGCGACATGCCATTATGGATGATGTATGTATTTTTGTTTTCCTTGATCAAAAGTTGAAGTGAAGATGGGGGATGACGAATTTACACTGCTTACAATAGCGGCATTGAATGGCCACCTGGACGTGATGGAAGCACTGCTGCTGGCCAATGCAGAGTTGGATGCAATGGACAAAGACGGGAGCACGGCGTTATCTTTTGCATCTTGGAGTGTTCCTAGATATTTCAGAGGGGACGGCAGTGAATGGTGCTGCCAGCGACAATGGCAACTTCCCTCTTGGCATACCCACAAAGATGGGCTGGTTGTCGATTGTGGAAGCCCTCCTCGAGGCCGAGGCGGACCCTAACGCACATGATCTTTCCAACAGACGCCCCTTCACTTTGCATCTCTTACATTGGGTTTTCTCAGTTAAAGTACAGTGAAAGCCCTGATTGACGCTGGAGCTGATTTGGAAGCGAGGGACAGCGATGGAGATACTCCCCTGATATACTATTTGGGAATGTTGGAATGCTTAGCATCTTGCTGGACGAGGGTGCAGACTTGACAGCTTGCAATAATGGTGGAATCACCGCTGCAGATCAGATTTGTGGCTGTGAATCAGTTGAGAAAATAAAAGGCAAAAGTCAGCGTCCAGAAAGGGACTGCGACCAGCTAGAGACAGCGGATGAAATCGGGGAAATTTTTGGTATGATGCTTAGAAAATATGGCGAAATAATAGCCCACCTGAAAAGAAGTCGAACTGGGTTTCCGACCAACAGATTACGTTGGTAGATTCAGTGCACATTCGAATCTGCATTTCACTTTCGTTGGTGTTCAGGCTCACCCCAAGCAAACTGTCTTATGCTGCCATCACCAACATACGACATGGTGGCTTCGGTGTGCTGATTACTTTACCAAAGGAGCTCGCAATCGGCCTCCTCGTACAACAGCATTTGATGGGACGGGTCTGGCGCCATCTGATGTTGCAGTAAAGTGTGAAGTACTGGTTTCTCTGGAGTCCCAGTCTTCCGACGACGCCCTACCCCCAATTCCCCCTTGTGACGATCCCGCCGATACTGCGAACGGGAAGCCATCCTCCCAAGCCATTTCGGCGATGCTGCCGGGGGTTGGGCCCCAATGCACAAAAGAGTTGGTTTTGCATTATGTCCCGTTTTGATCTTGAGGTTTCACTGTTGTTGTACGGAGGTGATGCGCGCCGTGCACGGTTTAGGAGAGGCGAATTTGTCCCCATTCTTGGTGCCCCACGCATTCTTGGTGTAGTTTGCTTTCTGCGATATCAATATTTAGCTGCTCAGGCAAGTGCCCCATCCAAATGTGTGCACTGTCTTGCATCCTTTAGCACTGGTATTCTCCCTTAAATACGTCTGGGATGCGCTTGATGTGGGGCTGATCCATTCAGGCCCGGTCCGCATGGCTGCCAAGTCGAAATTTGTGGGCAAATATTCCCCAAGAATGCAACACGTAGCACAGCATGGCTTCCGTGGGTCCGCATGACGGCCGGTGCGAGGAGAGACGCGGGGTTCTACTTGGCCATAGACCAGCCACCCAGAATGCCTGGGTTCGTTGGTGGATCATCGTGTCAGGACATCCGTGGGGAGGGGGGTGGGGTGCTATGCGCCAAGCCAAGGACTCGCGCCCAGCTCAATAGTGTCCCGAGGGATGCACGGCCCATGGCTGGCCGGGGAGTTGGAGGGTTGGTGTCCAGGCACGCAATCGCAGACTTGACGCAAGGGCTGCGCCCTGGCGCTCACGACGAATGTACTGGTAGCGCTGCAATTTTGGATTCCTCAAATGGTAAACTGTGGAACGCAAAACAGAAAATGTGGTATCTTGGAGCGGCGAGAGAACACAGAAATTCAGTCGCAGCGGCGTGCCTTTCCTGCCAGATCGCAGCCCCGGCTTGTATATTTGTTACTGTTACATGCCGTGCAAACGACAAGGAAACTGGCAGTAAAAGCGCAAAAGAAAAGCCAAAATCCCAGGTCTGTCCATCTCGTGGCCCCACCGACAGCCCCCATGAACCCCGTCCCACACTCTCAAGTGTCCTAAACCTACGCCAAGCCACCTAAACGCAGCCGAAGGCGGGCCCAGGGGGCCACACGTCTCCACCATGTCAGGCGTCAGAAAAGGCCACCAGCTTGCGAGGCTGTCCGAGCCCATTTTCGCCCAACACCCGCTGCATCTCCTGACGCCTCCAACCACAGTCCTCCGAAGCTCGAGCGCGCACAAGTCTTCACAGCAGATTGGGCAGCTGCTGCACACACGTGTGCTGACACACGTGTGCTGGCGCCCCCGCACCATCCCCACCTTGAAGCTGGCAAGTACTTCTCTATTTTCCCCCACCCACCCAAAATTTGCACTCTCCTCGCATGGCTGCTTCCTCTGATTATCCTTTCCCTCCAGGAGCCTTCCAATCCACCATTTCCTACAGCCCTTCTTCCACAGGCCCTCGCACATCCGCTGTTCCTTGCAGCCTTCCCACCACAGCCACCTCCCTTGTCCACTGTTTCTGGCAGTCATTCCACCACAACCCCTTCCATTCCACCATTTCCTGTAGCCCTTCTGCCACAGTCCCATCCAATCCACCACTTCTCGTAGGCCTTCCACCGCAGCGCCCACCTCATCCGCTGTTCCTTGCATCCCTCCCACCACAGCCACCTCCCTTGTCCACTGTTTCTGGCAGCCAAACTGCCACAGCCCTGCTCGTCCGCTGTTTCTGGCAGTCCTGCACTGCCAGGCAATCTCCAGTCTACCGTTCCTAGCGGCGGTCTCTCCACGCGCCCTTTCTTGTCTAGTGTCCCAGCTACCCCTGGAGCAGTAGCAGCAGCAGTCTACTGTTTTCAGCAGTGCCGCACGGCAAGGCAGCATCCGATCTACTGCTTGTCATGATCGTTCCACCGCTGGCCCCCTCTCCTCCACTACTTCTTGTAGCTCTTCCAGCCGTGCTCCTCTAGCCGGATGGCCTTGTCCGTGACGCTTTTCTTCATGTTCTCCTGGTAGTGCATCATGGACTGGAGCAGCGCATTGTCGTTGGCGGCCAGGATCCGAATGGCCAACAGACCTGAGACAAGACAGACACGGCCGCGCGCAATCAGGTTTAGGTTTTCAAGGTGTTTCGCTTCTGGGGGATTCAGGGGATGTGTTTTTTGTTCGGACCTCTTTGGAGAATCGATAGCATTGGACAGAGGAATTGTTCTATCCAGCACCCATGTTCCAAGCAAACAGTCCAGCCAACGCTCGCCCTATCCAGGGGGTGCAGTCGAAGTTGTGGACACATGCAGAGGTTTATGGGCACGCGATGAAGATACAACACAATCTGGGGCCAATGCTGTACATAGAATGCAAACCCTGCTTTGCTGCACAGGGCAGCAGTGCTGGTCCTCGAACATCAACGCCCCACAGGTGACTTGTCTTCTTGCTGCAGGATTTACAGCGCATAGGGTCTACTTTACGCTTCTTCATCCCCTTTTCATTACATTTATCATCTGACGGAGCAAAACCTTCTCACCACATTGGCAAATGAAACATATTGGAAATGAAACAGCTTGAAATGGCAGCTGGAAGAAAATGATTGAAAAGCATATGAAAAGTAAGCATAATTCAAAAGCAAGGAGTTTGAGCTCAATTATTTGATTGCTATATTGAAAAGGTTGAAGGAGGTGAAGATGCTCACCAGCATTTGTGGCATTGCCGATGGCCACTGTGGCCACTGGGACGCCATCGGCCATCTGGGCGATCGACATGAGGGCGTCCAGGCCGTCGAGGTGGGCGCCCTCAGGTGTCATGGGGACACCGATCACTGGCAGGGGTGTCATGGCAGCAACCATGCCCGGGAGGTGGGCAGCACCGCCTTGACAGGGCAATGCAGGGGTTAGAACGGCAATAGATGCATTGCCGTGTGCTTCATTCCAACATGCATATGTGCACATTCAATTCGCTACTTGCTGGTTCAAAAACTGTCAGGGTCGCGCAGGCAACCCGGCCACAAGCTTATTTAGAAGTGACATTCACCACGCAGACGTTGCTACGGGCCAAGCAGGATCCAAAATGGCAATGGCAAGAAACTAACTTGAAATGTTTACCTAAATGAACAATTGGCAAATTAATTGACAAGTAAACTAGCAATGCCCAACCAGCACCACCAACCATGACAAAATCACAATAATGAGAAACTAAGAGCAATGTAAATGCAAACGGAAATAAAGCATTCGAAAACTATGCGCCCACCTGCCCCAGCAATGATGACCTTGATGCCCCTTATGTGTGCAGTCTTGGCATATTCAACCATCCTCTCTGGCGTCCTGTGCGCAGACACGATCTTCACCTCACAAGGCACACCGAAGTGGTCCTCAAGGACCTCTGCTGCGGGCGCCATCGTGGGCAAGTCAGAGTCGGAGCCCATTATGATGCCAACCTGTTGGACAAGGCGACAACACTGAGTGAGTTACAGCAGCCATCACGGTGCCAGCCGCTCAGAAAAACCCACAAGAGAGCATGTGGCTGCACCAAGCCCCAAGAGAGCATGTGGCTGTCACCATCGGAATCTCGACCTTTTTCGACAGGCCCCTACGCCCACTATCGGGCTGCCAATCAACATGGCTGGCTACACAGACTGCACAAGATTTCTTCTTCCATACTTTAATCAAGACCCGCACTGGCACAGGACCCTGATAAGGAGACAACTACTTTTGAGACAAGCAGCTTCAGTACGTGCTAATGTGCAACACCATGACATTTGCGCCAGCTAGGCTGTTGAATTCGTGGATGACACACAATGAGGTGGCATATGGGGACCTAGCTTCCTGAAGTCCGCCTCACTTGGAGCAATAATTGATTGAAGGGCACCACAAAATTTCTTCTTTCTTTCAGGACCGATTGACACTGATTGACACCTGCAGCCTCTTTAAACTGAAAAAAGAACTGACAAATCACTGCTCTGACTGATCCGGTGTTGCAGATTTGGGTGCTTTGACAACAGGGCAGGCAACCTCAACGGCCTGCAAATGGGCTGCAGTCTGGACTTTCGCGATATTGGCGATCGCACCCCAGGCAAGTCTGTGCGTGGTCGCAAAGGCTGTGGTTTATCACTATTCTACAAATGCATTCAAAGGAACAGCATGCTGCAGATGTTGCCACTAACCCAGCATTCTTGCCTGTCTTTGATGGCCAGCTGTCAGCTGCATCATGCTCACCAGTTGTGCTCACCAGAACAGCAAACACACTGTGTTTGGCATTGCATTGGGCATTCAAGGAGCATGTCAAGGATTCGACAGGTCACCTTCCCACTTCCCCCTTTTCTTCCCCTTGCCCGCGACTGGGCATGAGCTGCAAGCATCTATGCAAGGAGTGAATGGAATCAACAAGAGCAAGTCACAGTTTCCAAAAGAGGGTGGCAGATTTGCACGACTAAAGTAACTGGCACCTGCTGCTGGTCAGTTGGCGTGTCCATTCAGTGACCACAAGCATGTGATCAAAACAATCCGAAGGGCTGAATCAATTAGGACAGAGAAGCACAAGCTCTTCCATTGAAGAGGGTGTCAAATGCTTGACATGCTCATATTTTCCGTATCGACAAACACTTCTCAACCTGTCCCTATAAAAGAGTGTTAATCGATCGTCGACATTAAAGTATTACCAAGCTCACCACTGCCTGGCTAGGGTGTCCATTGGGCATCTGCTGTCGAACGTCAGTGGCCTGCAGTGAATGCGCAGCCATGGGGTCCAAGGCGCCAAGCTGTTCCCGTGCCTCCTCTCGAGTCCCTGCCACGATGTTGATGTGGCCTATCTAGAGCGAAACGCACAGCATGCAATCGTGAACTCTGACGCCTTCCACAATTGCAGCCGCACCATGGCTTCAAGATTGCATCAAAAATGTGTGCTATTTCAATCCATAGTGGACAGCAATTGCTAACAGAGGACAGCAAAAACCGATGTAGCCTGTTGCTTTTGATAACAGTTCACAAACAGTTTGCACCTTTGTTCCAATGCACCTCCTCATTCCAAAAGTCCACAGCAAGTCAGCTTCAACCAGCGATTGGTTAAGGCGGCCGCATGACTAGCCTTTTGACTTGGTCTCAACCAAGAAACAGTACTTAGTAGCAGTATTACGCTGCACCGGCTTGCTCTAAAGGGTGACACTGTTGCATTGTCCAGCATGTCCCAATGCATGGGAGACTTGCAATCTGTCGCATTGATGGCAAATGTGGGCAACGCACAAGTCATTAATGATATTGAAGTGAGCAGTCTCTCCCAAAACGCTACGCAGATGAAAGAGGAGATGCATCATGGTCACCAATCTACAAGCAGGAAGTGATCCATGCATCGCTCCCAGCTACAGTGCATATGCTTCAGTTTAGTGTTGTTGGAACAGGAAGCAATCTCATTTAAAGAAACAAGTTGCGGTTTGGTGAGAAGACAGTTGCAGGACAACATTCAGCTGGGTGCAGCAAGGTTCCCATGTGCTGGATGCAGCAACCCAAGCAACACGGGGCATTTGCAACCAGTTCTGCAGTCTTTGTTCCCACAGCTTCGCCGTCACTTCATCGCTGCGCCCTTAACTGCCTTTACTGTCATTGCCATTTCTGCCACCCAGGGTACAAAGAGAAATGTAGTCTGGGAACGTGGCAGGCATTCAATGTGCGATGCAGACTGCTCGATGAAATCGTTGTCTCCTTTGCAGCTTGTGTGCCCATACTCCCAAACCAGAGCACTGAAAGACGCGACGCTTCCACAAAAATGACTACAGCATGCATACAGCGTCAGCAGCAAGCATCACGCGCGCTTTCTCAGAAGTCCTCCGGGCATGTGCCGCCTGGATTAGTCAACGCTCACAGGCGAGCGCCCACGCCTGGACTCACTCGGCGCAACCTAAACCCAACAAAACAACATAGCCTTGCGGCCAAAGAACGACGACCGCAGTTTCCGCAAACCCGCAAACCAAACAAGCCAAGACCCGAAAAAACGACAACCACACCAGTTTCGAAGACGCAGGCTGTGGCGCCGGCACAAAGTCGTCCCGGTGCGGTTTTCCCACACCCTCGACAGCCCCAGACGGGGGTTAGTCACAGGCGGGACGCACGCGAGCCCCTGCCGTGCCGCAGCGGGGGAACGACCACCGCAGCCCCACCCCACAGGGCGCGCTGATCGGCGCGAGGGGCTGCCCGAGGCTCGGACGGCCCCGCGAACGCGCGGGGCGATCCTCCCAGGGCCCCCGAAGCACGAGAAGGAGGTTGAGGAAAATGCCGCCAGCAGAGGGCCGACAAAACGCGCCCAGTCAGCCTCACAAGCCCGCAGAAGATCCCCAAAGAGAGCCACGGCTGCGTGGAGCGGAATGGCACGGAAACGCGAGCAAACGGGCCAGCGGCCGCCATTCCGCCAGCCGGCGCCGATCCCCACGGCGGATTCAAAAGGAAAAAGGGCAAAGGGGGATCGGGGTGGGGAGAATTTTTGGGGTGGGGAGAGCAGAGTCGTCGGGGCGGCATGGGGCGGAACGGTGTTCCCCTAGCGCGGGAGCGCGGGGCCAGGAAACACGGTCGATGGGCGGACGGCGCGGCTAAGCAGGGGCAGGATGCACTCGGCAGCCAAGGGGCTGCATCTCGGCTTCGAGAAGCGGCGGAAAGAGCAGGGGCCCGAACATCAACCGGCGGCCATCACCGCTTGGCGCGGGCCCATTCAGCCACCGTCACAGCGACCAAGCATAAATCGAACAAGCGCAAAGAACTGTCCGGCGCGAAAAGCCCGCCTCCCGCCGCGCCCCTAAGCGGGAAGGCTGCGCCGTTCCTCGGCGGCGGAAGCATACGTCCCGGCCACCGCGGGCGAAGGCAGAGCGGGGGTCCAAACTCGACTCGCCACTTACGAGGGATGGCCTGGCCCCCCCGTGCCCCAGCGCCGAACCCCTCCGTCTTCACGCCCGCCGGTGCCTGGCGCTTCAGCGCGTCGAAGGTCTCCCTGTGGTGGCGCTTGAGGTGGCTGAACATGTTGGTCGTGGACCCCGTGTAGTTCATGGTCTCCCACCGGCCGTTGTTTGCGCACACGCGGCACACCACCCTGCACTTGTCCGCGCCGCCGCCGCAGCCCTTGGGGAACCCAAAGGCCTCCCACACCGGCGACCGGGTACCCCGAGAGGAAACGAAGTCCACGATCTCGCACGGCGAGATGGGATGCATCCGGCCGGGCAGCCCCGGGGATGGCAGTGGGCTGACCGGGCTGGGCAGCGTGGGGGCGGTGTCCCCCGATGCGGCGCTCTGGATCGGCGCGGACAGCACGAAGGCCGCCGGCACCGGCGTCGCCAGATGCTGCGACATCCCGGGAGCGCCCCCGGGGATCGCCAGCTTGGCGCCATCGGGCGCCGAAGACCCCGAGGCGGTGGGCGGAACGATCGGCGGCGGCAGCGCCGGGCAGCAACTCGAACAATCCGGGTCTCCGGCCGCGGTAACAGGCCCGCTGCAGACGAGGACATCCCCCTGCTGCCCCGGAGCCTCGGAAACCACGCCCTGTCCCTCCTGCGCCCCCTCTGCGCTCTGGGGCTCTTGCTCGGTGACCGGCGACGGCGGGCCCTCCATGTCCATCGGTTCCGTGGCGTCCATATCGCCGCGGGCCGATACGAGTATCGATTGTTTGGGGCGGGGAGGCTGGGGGGCTTGGCGAGCGATGGCGCCTGGGCGGCTTGCTGGAAGAGGCCCAGGCGGAGCGATAAGTGCGATTTCGGGGAGGGGCCGACCGGTAACCGAACCGGAAGGCCCGGCACGGAGGTGGGCGGGCAGCAGGGGCGCCCCGGTGCGATTCCCGATCCACTCAAGTGGGGGCTGATTCAGCCGCCGGCGATTCCCCTCGGCATTCTTTTTTCCGCGCGATCGGATCGGAAGGATCGCGCAGAAAAAGGGTGGGCGCCGCGGCACGGGGCCGAAACTAGTCACTCTGTCGTTTCCGTGAAGACCCCTTCCTGTTTCGACACCAAAAGTCCTAAAACGCCGACCCACTGACCTAAGTTGGCGTTGTCAGCGGAAGAAGATGGTGTCTTCACGGAAAAGACGGAAGGACTGATATGCTCTCGCGGCGCAGCGGTGGCGCGCGGTGATGGCGGCCGGGAGAGGCGAAGAGCGAAGAGGTGGCGGCTGGCCAAGCGACATTTTGCCCAACATTTTCGTGGCCGCGTCAGAGACGGCACGACGCGGTGTCCCCGTCGTTTGTTCGACGGCATTAGGTTGCGATATCCTGGTCAAATCTCACCTGGCCGAGCTGTCACGGACACCTGTTGCGGCTAATTGTTGAAACTGTGGTCTGCCAGCGGCTGGCGTGTTCTGAACTCCGAGCCAAACTACTAAAAGGGGCGACAGTCTCGGCAGAAGGACCGCCGTCCCAACGGGCAGCGGAACGCTTCCCACGCCCTTTCCGCATTTTCCCGGGAGAACTTCGCGCGCGTGCCCAATCCGCCGACACTGATTCCGACACCAGTTCCGACGCCGATTGGGACACCGATTTCCGGCCCCGACTCCGATCCTGCCCACCTTCAGCTTCTTCGCGACGTCTTCCTTGCCGTACCAGTGCACGTGGGCGCCCCTGAGGCCCCTGGCCCGCGCCAGCAGCGCCTGGGCCCGCTTCAGGCCCTCCTCCCCGTCGTCCTCGCCCACTATGTTGTACATGACGCAGCAGCCGTACGTCATGCTCGGGTCGCTCAGCGGCCAGCCCAGCACCGCCCGCAGGTGCTGCTCGAACTGGGACGTCTGGCAGGCGTCCATGGTGTAGTGGCCGGCGTTGTGGGGCCGGGGGGCGATCTCGTTGAGGATGACGGGCCCGGACTCCACCCAGAAGAGCTCCACACTGGGGGGCAATGGCGCGTCAGCCCGTCAAAACAAGGGCTTGTTTGAAAATGGGGTCAAAACCAGGTTTCGTTTAACAAGGGGTTGGTAAGCAGGGGGGGGGGGGGCGCGGGTTTCAAATGATCGAGTCAAGACGCGCCTCATCAGCAACAGTCACTCGCTGCGTGCTTGGCTGGCCGCACTATCCGCGGATCCCATCGGAGGAGGCCAAAAGGAGGGACGAATCCGATCGAAGATGGATCCGATAGAAGATAGATCGGAGGCAGATACGATCGAAGATGGATTCAAGATGGATCCGAACGAAGATAGATCGAAGTTAGTTCGAAGATGGATCCGAACGAAGATAGATTGAAGATATATTCAACGGACCGGATCCAGGTGTATCGCGGCTGGGACGCCACAACGCCGAGAGATGGGCCACTGGCAAGGTCGCCCCGGGGTTGGGATACCACGCATGGTACGCTGGTTGGTGCGAGCGGGTGGGGATGGGGATGCTGCAGGGATGCTGCAGGGGAGCTGACAGGACAGCATCTGTTAGCGGCCTGGTTCAGCTCTTCGGGGGACGAGACAGCGAAGGTGGGTGGACACTGCTTACACCCTGGTGTGCCCGTTTGGAGAGGCCAGATACAAAATAGCGCTGGAAAAGAACAAGGGAAGAGAAAAGGGATACAAAAAAATGAAAGACTAAAAAGGAATGCGAATTGCAGCAATAAGTACAAGTGCACACAAGATGATAACAAACTGCAGAAATGCGGGGAGATGTGGAAGAATGAGGAGTGCGCAGAGATACGCAAAAAGAACACACAGTCAAAGAGTTGGTGCACCCACCCAAAGACTCCTGCGCCATCAAGACAAGCCACCGCCCTCTCGGCGATGGTGCGTGCCTCAGTGGCCACCTCATGCGGCACATTTGCAGGTGCCTCCGTCACAAAGCAGACATCTTCCTTGTGGATGGTCTCCACGACAGGGAAAGACAGGACATGACCCTCGCGGGTGCGGGTCACCGTCACAGCCAGCTCCTTGGTTGCGGACACCCACTGCTCTGCGTAAAGGCCGCTGGAATAGCCACCCAACGTCTCCACAGCCTCGTCCAGCTGCTCGGCACTGCTGATCAGGTAGCTGCCCCTACCATCGTACGCCAACCTGTGCAACACTTGGATGTTGTTGAATCTTCAAAGATCGCTTTCCTCGATGCCACCCGAAGGAAAATGAAACACAACCCAACGGATGCCAATATATTGCTTTTGCTATTTTTCAACACGTTGAGATGGAATTCGACAATGGTACAATTCGTGCCAAAAGATTTTTGAGCTTCCAGCGCCAAGACTAGCACAAGCCGCACACAAATTATTCACCAAGATTTGCGAGTGCCATTCTTGTGTGGTGTTTTCTCTGCAGTTGTCATAATAGTGAATTTCAACCAAGTTTAGGGACATGTTGGAGGGTGCAATGCACACTGACAGCGCCTTCGTCCATTGAACTCAGATATCCTTGCCATCCTGCACTCAGATTCGCAGGACACTCCCTGAACTGTGGCCGAATTTCTTCTGCAGTTTGCAAAGAGAAAATGCGCTCACCTCCTGGCTTTGAGCATCACGGGATATCCGTTTGCACAGGCGTTCTGGAGGTCATCTGGTGTGTTGATCTCCACACACTGCGTGACGGGGATGTTGTGTTCCATCAGGTGCTGCTTTTGGGTGAATTTGTCCTGTGCACACACCAAGACCACCATTCGTCCGTGAAACTTCGACAGAATCAACCAGTTCTACACAGTTTCTTCTACCCGTTCACAGATGGGGTAATCAAATTGTGAAAATCATACTTCATGCTAAAACACATACTAGAAGAATACCAAAACCCACCTTTAATAATGTTGGAAAAAGAAACATTCATGTGCACCCAACAAATACTAAACAATACTTCCTCCATCCCCAAAAGTTTGTCAGTTATGGTTTGCGGCCTTTGAAAAGCACACTAAAACATCTTCAACAGCGTTGAAACTTTGATCAAATATTGAACTTTGTGTCAATTTTGATTTGCCAAATTCTTAGATCAATCGGCTAACTACAATGTACAAGAAACCCACATATGCTGCGACGGACTCACCTGGACTATCCTGAGTGTTTCTGGACTTGGGTGGACGTTGATGCCCAGCTCCGACCGGACATCTTCCAGTGCCTCGGTGTTGATGTGCTCAATCTCAACAGTCACCACATCGCAGCCCTGGGCAAACTCCATGATCTTTTCCCTGTCCTGGTAGCTGCCGACGATGTGCTCAGCCCCTACTGAAGAGGAGGGCGCATTCTCGATGGGGTCAAGTGTCCGAATGCGCACCCCAAGGCGAGCCTAAGGAAGAGGGCAGGTAAGCAACGTCAGCCATGAATTCCTTTGGATGTCTTTAACAGAGCAAGGCAAAAGCCTCTGTGCTTTGCAGGTAATATGGCCAGTGTGAGCTGCCATTGAGGGAGCACCAATCAACACACTTGTTCACGATAACAATGATGGGAACCAAACCAACCATAGCCTTGATGAGCTGGGCTGCTATCGAGGAAGCTGTACAGACAGTGGGGATGCAGATGCACAGGAGGAGGCAAGTGCGGGAAGGGGGTGCAAGCCGCCAACAGTTTCAGTTTGTGGCACAACAGATGCTGGACCAGTTTAGGGCAGATACAGATATAGGCTGCAATGTACTCGCCACAGAGTCACTTTACAATAACAACACTACATACGCCAACAACCATAAGGTAGAGAGGACCTGAAAAGCAACAAGCATTTGCAATGCAGAAATGTGGGGGCATAAAACACTGAGTGAAGATAACCACCCAGCAAAACTGTGTATGGGAACACCACTTCAGGCCGCCTATTACATGCAAAGGCACTGATTTGCCCTGTTGAAAAAATCATAAAATGCACACGCTGTGCATGTTCACGAATTGGGCACAACACTCACCGCCGCCAGCGCAAGCATCCGCCCCAGTTGGCCGCCCCCCAGGACGCCAACAACGCGGTTGTGCACAAGGTCCTCGTGTGTGGCTCTGCAGCAACGGAATGCAATCCCACCATATTGCCACCCGCTCTTCACCAAAGTCCCAAGCATTTTGACGCGAATCGAGCACCCAAGTGGATCCGCCCAGGGGTAACCACCCAGTTCAGGTCAGACAACCGCATTCTTTCCAGCAGTCTGCGAGGGCCTCATGCCACTTGCCACCCAGCTCCCACGTCACAAGAGAGTCGAAACACACTTAAAAATAAAGGAAAGAGCCAAGGAATGCAGAAAAAGGATTCAAAAACAAGCCATTAAGAACACCAAATAAAGGGTTCAGAAGAACCCATTGGCCGAGCGGCATGACCACAAGCCCCGGCCGTTGCCGACCGCCAAGGAGGGCCAACACGCGCAAAGCGGCCCCCACACACGCGCCCCAGCGCACTCGAAACGCGTAACGCCCTCCCCCGTTTTTTCGCGCATGCGCTCCGTGACGCCTCCGCCACCGACGCGGCCGTCATCCTCGGGCGAGGGCCGCGCAGCAGATGCCACAGCCGCGGGGCCGATCGGACTTTCTCCCCTCGCGCCAACCGTGCTGCCCGGGCCGAGAAAAAGGAAATGGTTCTCCGACGGCGGTGGGACCGACAAGGGTTTGCGCCTGGCCGGATGCCAGCTGCGGTGAGCCGTGTCAAGACCGGGAACGCCAGCAGGGTTCCCCAGAGACAATCGGCATCGCTGCGCTGCCCTCCTTCTGCTCCCGCCCCCCCGGTCGACCGCCCAAGCCTCCGGGGCCCTCCAAAGCCGATCCGGCGCATGCGGCCCAAAAAAAAACGAGTCGAAGAGGCGAACGAGGCGCCGACGAGTATTTCGGGGCGCGGGGCGCGGCGACGCGCCCCGGGCAAGCAGCGGCGCGATCGGCGCAGCTCCGCCCAGCATCGCGCCTCCCGGCCGCGGAACACGAATTCCTGATCCATCCCGCCGCGCCCGAGGCCCTTCACGGTGCCGCGCGGCCCTCCAAGGCCGAAACCCTGGCGCAGATCCTCGCGGCGTCATCCCACCCACCCTCCGGAATCCCGAGGGCCGGAATCGATCCGCATCTGCTCCCGCCCCCGGCGATGCCCCCGGCGCTCCGATGGCCGGATGCATCCCGCCCTTGGGCAAGGACCGCCATGGCGGGGTCCCAGATGGCAAGATCATCGCCCGGGGGGTCCGGACGACCGGCCCAGACGTCGGCCGCCGAGCCGCAGAAGCGAGGGGGCTGCTCCGGCGGAGGTGCGCGCGCTGGCCTCAGCCAGGCGGGGGGCGTATACACAGTAGGCCACCGTATTGGAATACCCATATATACTCCCATATACCCATATGACGCGACGCGTATAAAAGTCGCCGCCCGCAGCAACAGGCGCGGCGCAGCAAAACCAGCCCCAGCGGGGGGCACGCCGCTACGATACCATACGACGAGGGGGGCGGGGCCTCTCGGCGGGCCACCCAGGGGCGGGCCGGACGGACCCAGCCCCGGACCGACGCACGCACCCTCCCCGGCTGCCCGCCGATCGGCCATCCCGCCCCCCCCCCCTCCCCCCACCCCCGCCCCCCGCCCCCGTGGCGCCGATCTGCCCATCGCTCAAGATGCTCACCCGTTGTCCTCTCTTCCGATCGACAGCAGCGTGGCGGCGTACTGGCACTCCGCCGCCAGGTCGTCCTGCATCGTGTGCCCGGGCGCCATCTCCGCGCCCGGCGGGCACGGCGGGGCCATGGCGAAGCCCGCCAGCCCGTGGCCCATGCTGTCGACCCTCAGCCGCTTCCCCGCCCCCGGGATGCCCAGCCCGTCGGCCTTGTCCCCCATGCCCGGATCCTCTCGCCGCACCATTCTCCCGCCCACGCTCGCCGCGCTGCCCTTCCGCCGCATCTCCGCAAATTCCTCCGTCTTTTGGAACTCTGAGCATGCGCCCGATTTCAGGTGGTCCTTTGCCGTGCGACTGGGGTTGCGTGCAGAGAACCGTTTCTTGCAAAACTCGCACTGCAATTTAACCTCCTTGGGCGCCCCTCCGTCATTTTTGATCAGGATCGGGCTCATGTGGCGCCAGAACCACGCGCCCACGCCCTCGCGCCCCGCCACGTGCAGGTGCCGCAGCTTCTCGTACTCGCGCGTCAGCGCCTCCCCGCTGGGCCCGCCGCCCGCCATCTCCAACCCCGATCCCTCTGGGCCCCTGGGCGCGGGCGAGCCCGCCTCGGAAAATACCACCCGGCCTTCCGTGGCTCCTGCTGTCGCCGTCCGACCCTGCGCGGCTCCGTGCCCGGCGCTGGTGGTGGAGGGGGGGGGGGCGCGGGTGCGGCGCGGAGCCAGAGTACGGCGAATACCCGTATCTACGCCATATATAACTACGCCGCATACGCCGTATTCCGTCCGGCGGAATCGCGATTCGCCGGGTGGTGACGCACCGATGCGCCGGGCCCGATGGCCCGGGGCGCCCCCCAGTGGGGCGGGGGGCGCGATTGGCTGGATCAGGTTTTGCCGATTGGGCCCATGTGGCCGTGAGCTGGCACCTGATGGGGTTGCACGTGTGGGGCGGCCTGCTTTGATGCGTGTGTGCTGTGTGGCCGGTGGGCGCCTGGTGGCTGTGGGAGGTGTTGATAGGGTTTACGTGGTTGGCTTGTCTGACGTCCGGGGGGGTGGTGTGGTGTGGGATTGCCCGGTGGAGGTACACCGCGGTCTGCGGTCCGATAAGATGGGGGTATCGGAACATGGAGGGGGGTAATCGGGATCCGCCGGGAATCGGGAGGGTGGTGGGGAAGATGGCGGCGCGGCCTTTCGGGGAGGATGTGGCTGCGGTGTGGCGGCCGGGGCGCCGCACTGGTCCGTGGACGGATGATTGGGCAGATTTGCGGTGGCCAGCGTTGATAGGCAAGAGTGATGGCGGTGCGCTAGGTTCGAAACGCGGTTTTTGTTCTGGTGGCGGACCTGCCGCGAGAAAGCCGAGAAGAGAGAAAAATGGTGGTGGGGGCGTTTCATTGTTGGTGTGGGCGCGACTGGCAGGCACCTTTGGTCATGTGCCGTAATCTTTGGGGGGAGAAAGCTGAATTGTTTGTAAGGGTTTGTTGACATAGTACCTTTGTGTAGGCACACATGATCTGGAACAACAGCCCGCCAAACCCGGGGTGTTGTTGCTGGGATTGCCCAACATGCCAAACTCTCAGCTTTGCTGCTGTGTTCGCCATCAGTGAGCAGCCAACCAGACGGTCAATGAGAAAGCTTGATGGCCTATCCGGTGGTCCAGATTCAGGTGTTGCGAAATCGGGATGAAGTTGGGCATGGTGGAGCCTCGACTGGTCACAAACACTGAACCAAGACTGACAGCATGTTCACAACAGGAGAGGCAACTCATACCAGTGCAGCATTTTAGCATGTGCATTTAAAAATGAATGTATTTGCAGCCACACATTCAGAGCAAACATCCTCACCAACAAAACGTGTCCCTTTGTTGCATCTAACGTGGCAACTATTTGCCCTTAATTAGTCGGCTCAATTCATGCACTGCATGGTGTTCCACATCCATCGCATGTCGTGCATCAGTGCCTGCACTGATTTGGAGCAATCAACAACAACATGAAATGGTCGCCCCTGGAACATATTGCTTGGAGAAGATGTTCAGAAGTTTAAAATATTCACTTCTGACCTAAAGCTCGTCAGCCTAGGTCACCTCACAACTCATACACTAGTCGGCCTTGTCTGGAAAAAATTGCTAACTGTGCTTAGCAACTCATTGGGACAGGACACCTTTCATTGCAGTTCACAAAAAAGCTCAATATCATGTACCCCAGGGCAGGCACCCAGTGCATTTCAGGGCAGCCCCGCAGAAACATTCACCAAGTTTTCCCAGAATATCTAGATTACAACTTAGCACCTACGTTATCCCAATCCTTCCAAGTCCCCCAAGCTGAATGCAGTGGGTCTCAGGGCTACCTTCACAAGTCGGAAAACTACGCCAACCCAACCAAAACAAGAGCTTGGCCGTGTCCGGCCATCTTGCAACCTTCAAACTGGCAACCCTGCTATGGATGCGTGTGTTCAATCCCTACCCGGGGTCAATTTGAAAAAGAGAGTATATTGGAGTAGGTGCGGCAGTGCTGTGTCGGCTTTTGCAGCCGCTCAATCTGTTCGAGAAGCTCCATCCTTCATTGATGATCACTGATATTTATTGATCGACGACAAGCTACGCTCTGACATGATCGCAATGAACAAATGATGAGATCATCTTACACGGAGCCCCAGGATTAGCGTTATGTTTTTCGATGCATGTGGACTGCATTTGACCTCTTTTCTGCAACCAGTGGCACTCAAAGTGGTGCAGAAGGGAAACGGGTTGAGCAATGTTCTTGCTGGCAAGGAGCTGCCCTTCGAAGAGCTCGTCCCGCCAACAAGAATATTGCGGATCCAGTGGAAATTCACACCTTCGAATCTTCGGATCCGTGTTTCATTCTGTAAGAAAGTTTGGTTCCCGGATATCCGGGATTCAAGGGTATTCCGGATCTGGTGTGAATTCACACCTTTCAGGAGAAAATGATTCAACCCAGAACTTTAAAGTACCAAATCCTACATTTTTCCCCCAGAGAGTTTTCCGCTCACTGGAAGTGCTTGATTTACTTTCGACCTTTCGATTACAATTTGGCACACACACCGCGATCGATGGCGCTTCGCGGTGTTGGATCTGGACTGTGGATTCCTGGACAAGTGCTACTCGGGCCTGAGTTTGCTCCAGTGCATGCACTGGAGTAAGCAGCATGCGCGTGTCAGTTTTTGAATCACAGTCACACACACACTCGCACACAAACACATATGTACATCAGTACATCGTCAGTGCGCACCCAAAACAATCCCGCAGGTCACTGCCGCCAACCAGCCATCGATCCACCAATTCCTGCCTTGCACATTTCGATTGCAAGCTGTCGCCTTATTGCACTTGGATGAAAGAGAAGGTGCACAAAACAATTTGCCAGCGAGCTCTCCCTAACTGTAGAGCGGCGACGTGCAACAGTGAAATCATGCAACAGCGCAATTCAGCAGTTCATTTGTGTTTTCCACCCGAACAACGCGTCACTTCAACTCCGTAACTATGCGCATCATTCAGGCTCCCCTGTACTACAAAATTGTTTCTGTGTGGTTCCGGCTAACTAAGTCCGTTTGCCCATCGGGCACTGAATCTTCTAACCTCAACGTGCGCATCTCATGCTCATGTCCTTGAACCATGCCTTCTGCATGCATGCAGAAGGCCACATATGCGTCCCTTTGTTATGAAATCTGCTGAGGCCGGGGTTCTTGCAGCGCGGTCCCTGAAGGGAGTCAACATTGCCGAAGATCTTCAGTTTCTGGCCATTCTTCATGCCAAGATGCTCCTGAGGGTTTTGGCTGTGCCTGGTTGATCGCATCCTCCTTCCGGACACTGAATTAGATCTTCCCACCTGGCGTCCCTCTCGCAGCTGCAGATCATATCTTCAGCCATGTCTTCGTTATTGTCACGGGGCTTTGGTGACGCACCCTCGTTCAGAAGAACTTGAAGCGTTCCAGCATTGCCAAAGCGCGCCGCCCACATCAGAGGCGTCATTCCCCGGGCATCCCTCGCCTCCACGTCTGCTCCGGCGGCAATCAGGGCCTTGGTAATTCGCTTGCTTGAGGCTCCCGACGTGACAGACGCCCAGTGCAGCGGAACAACTCCGAATTCATTTCCCAAGTTAGGATTCGCACCCGCGTCTAGAAGGGCTTCCGCGGTATCCAGGTGGCCGCCCTGAGCTGATATTGCAAGGGGCGTGATGCCAAAATCGATCCCTTGGTCCACGTTTGCGCCCGCGCCAACAAGCTCCAGCACAACGTCGCGATGCCCATTCCAAGAGGCGACGTAAAGTGGCGTGGCACCGGCGTCGCCTATCCTGCCCACGTCCGCCCCGGCCTCAAGCAAGGCTGACACAACCTCGAGATTTCCGAAAAGAGACGCGGCATGTAGAGGCGTGCGGCCAAGGACGTCCGGCACGTCCACCGCAGCACCCGCCTTCAGCAAAGCTGACACGACGTCGCTGTGCCCTTTCTGGGATGCCGAATATAGAGCCGTGCCGCCCCCGTTGTCCACTGCGTTTATGTCCGCATTGGCTGCGAGCAGCGCTTCCACGACATCCAAATGGTTATTGTAGGCTGCGACGGTGAGCGGTGTGTCTGCGTAGTCACCCAGCACCACCTCCGTGTCGGCTCCGCCTTTTATTGCCTTCTTGACATCTTTGAGGTTGCCTCCTCGGGAGGCTCTCCAAAGTTTCTGATAAACAAAACAGACACCAGACCACATTTTTGGCACTGCGCGCTATTCTGCCAGCGGTAATGCGGTATTGACGCACCAGGATTGAAGTTCTTTCAGCGGACTAATTTTACCAGCCTGACCTCCTCCAAGTATCCAAGAACGCAAGGCGACAGCTGGACATGGAAAGCAAATTCGCATCTGCAGTTTGGGCAGATATTGAGGCAACATTGTGTGTCCAATATCATGAACGCAATGCAGAATAACGCTGCAGTTACAGTAACTACTGTAATTACCTCAATGTTGATAAACTGGCCTTGCTGTAACAAGATAAGTGTATCAACATTGAGGCAAATCTGGCGCACATTATTAACACGTGGCCGTTTGATGAAGGATTGTCGACATTGCATCAATGTTAACCGCATTTTACATCAACGCGTATCTACTTTCCAGATGCGAAGGTACACAGTACGATGACTAATTGAGGATTAACTTGGGAATGTAAATTTGGTGTCATATGCGACACAGTGCGTACGTACTTACCCGGTTCTTATACATATGATGTGCCTAAGCTGATATATCCCAGAGATGCAAACTTCGGGCAATGTTCGATTGGGCACATGCCAAAGGCCAGCTTGAATGAAAACTCCAGCAGTCGATATGCACAGCTCGGAAGGGAAGACTTGTGGCATATTCATCCGTTCGCACCTTATCTATCTTTTTCGGCTCGGGCACCTCCACCGGATTGGCTGAATTAGGACCCTACGACATATGGGGTATCAGAATTATTGCTCCATGAAACCGATTCCGCAGACATTGGCCATAGCGGGAAATGCTTTTTCTGTTGCGGGTAATCTGCATCCAAAAGTCTTCACAGCACGAACTCCCCTTTCAGGCGAGCTAT